AGGGACCACGGAGGGGCAGTTTGGGGACCCAGTTTGGCAGCGTTTTGGTCGCTGCTCATCTGCATACGCGGAGTTCAGGCTTAGCCAGGGTACCCAGGCACGGGTCTGCCGTATCACAGTAAACCATCTCTTTTCCAGCCACGTCGTCCATGCGACACACGGACACCAGCACACCCACCCGGCCGTCGGTGCCAGGGGGGCAGGTGGAGAAGGCAGCCCTACGGCTGGCATCGGCTGGAAGCGCTCAGGTCGGTGGTTCCTGCGAGCAAAAGCCTTTCTGATGCTATAAAGAAATGAGCTTGAGAAACCTTGATCTCACCCTCCGAGAGGCTGGATCCCCACCTCTAAGTGTGCTGGGCCTGAGCGTGGGATTTCCTGGGGCTGTGGGGAACGCTGCTGGCCGGCAGAGCCGGTGGAGAGCTGCTAGAGGCTCCTCTGCTGCCTCCTTTCGGGATTCAGTTTGCTCCTCCAGGCCAAACGCCTTCTCACACCGCAAGCCCGCTTTTCTTGGGGTTTGTACATGTCAAATGGCCTTTATCCAAAAAATGGATGCAGGGGGCATGCAGGAGCTTAAATTCTCCCTTCAGGCTCATCCTCAGATCTCCACGTGGAGTTGTCTAATTCCCTGGTCTTGTTCATCACCAGTATGAGCTGGTATCGCACCAACTCTGCACTAGAGGTGCTATGGACCTACAGTAAGGCAAAGTTTTCATTTCTAGGCCATAGCAACTCCTCAAGCCCCTGGTGAACACCTCCCTCAGCATCCCGTGGCTCAGCCGGCAGTCCCCTCTCAGCACGCTGTGATGGTACGTGATTTATTTTTGTTAAATGCACTGGTCTGGCCAGTCAGCGGGGCAGACTGGGTGGCTCCGGTTCACTGCTCTTACCTCCTTGCTGGCTGGTCCCAGTGTGGGGCAAGGTTTCAGTGCCCTTTCTCTTGCTGTTACTGAGGTTTACCTGCAACCAAATTATTGCAACCACTTATTTCAGCGAGGAGACAGAGCAGGTAGGACACCCAAGGAAATAGCTTAGAAGAAGGTTTACACTTGTCAAAACCACTGGGGGCTGCTGGAGGCTCATCTCTGAATTGCTGGCAACTAACTGCAGGCTGAGGAGTTTTATTGCCCTGGTAGAGGAAGGGGATGTCATGGAAGGTTTAAGTTAGGCCAGAAAAAGAAAAAAAACCACAAGAAAAATGTGGGAGTCATAAACCATAACTATGAGGCCCATCGTCACAGAGCTTTGAGGTCAGTGTAGTAAACATGCAGACTATAATACAGGGATTGAAGATGGCCAACGTAGGTGTGAAGGATGGGTCCCAGGGTGGGATTACAACCTAACTTAGGCCCGGCATTTGGCAAATATAATCAGCAGCACAACTGAAAGCCCAGCCTGGAGGTGTGGCGAGGGTTAGCATGCGGTGTCTACCACAAAGCACAAGTGGTCTGAAATCAGTAGGGTGTCACGCTAAAGGGAGAGGGGAGTCCCATGCACAGACACTACATCTGCGCAGAAATTTAATAGACCAAGATCTGGAGTGAGGCATCAAGTATGAGCCAGTTGTGCTGCTGCTCTGGAAGTACAGTGGTACTTTGGTTAAATACGCAATTGCCGTTTTCTGTCAGCATCATATTTTCTATGGCAAAAGCTGAAAATCAGTCGTTTTTCTGAAGCCAGCATCACTGTGAATGTGAGTAGCAGGACGGGTCCTATGCCGTGATCTTGTTCTCTGTTCTCCGCAGCCAGTGTACCATTTTCCGACCCAGCTGGGGATGATGCATCAGCTGAAAGAGCAGCTGGAGGAGAGGACACGCATACTGCAAGCTGACATCAAGACGCAGCAAGAAGAGCTCCACGTCATCAAGGAGCAGCTCCAGCTAGTGCAGGACTCCAACCTGCAGGTACCCGCTGCCCCTGGGGTTCCCAAACCCACAAACCATTTGCTTTTCCTTTGAGCACACAGATGGGTAACAAAATTGTCGTGGCAAAAGCATTTAGAAATGAGCTCTGGATAAATTGGTAGTTTGGTCTCAGACGTGGGAGTGGCGTCTCCTGAGAGATGAGTGGTGTCAGTATCTGCTTAAAAGTATTGAATCTGTAATTTTCGTGATTTAGAAAAAAAACAATCCCAAGCTAATCCGAAGTGCCCCCTGCACAAAAAGCTCGGCCGTTCAGTGGCCGGTTAGTGCTGCTGGATCCCCAGTGCCATTCCTGCAAAATGCAACACGCGTAATGAAGCTGGAACGGTCGTGGCTTTGAATAAATATTTGGGCACAAGCTAACATTTGATTTTCTGTTATTCACGGTTCACTTTGCCCCTGGATTTAGAGACGTTGCTGCTGCAGTGTTGCATATGTTGACAGAGACAGCATGGGAGCCGGAGCCGGTATCTCCCATGCAGTACAACCACCGTATGAGCTGCGACAGCTCATGTGTCTCTTTTATTTAAAGATGCTGATGCAGCAGCCGATCCCTGTCGTCTTTAACAACGTGCAGCACCCGAGCCCCAGGAGGCCGCCGCCGCCAGGGACACCCAGGCAGGCCACAGCCAAGAAGTCACAACAGCAAGGCCTTGTGGGGACGAAGCACTACTGCGGCACCCACCTGCCGTCACCACGCCAATTCCTCAGGGACCCCTGCGGCACGGCCACCCAGGTCGCTGGTTGCTTCGTTGTCTTCACTGACCCCTTTCCTGGCTTTTAAATACTTGTCTGTCGCGTCCCCCCTCCCCGTGGTCCCGTGCATCTCCTCTGTGCTGGCATTACAAAATTTGTGTCGAGAGTCAGTTGTGAATGATGTCATTCAATTGTAAAAATAAAAGCCAGGTGGCCTAAAAGCACTAAACCCTGGGGACTGCTGGAGCCATCCTGGTGACCGGAGAGGAACTGGGTAGGAGGTTTGGGCTCTCATTCACTTCTGTTTGCAGTTGCGACATGATGCTCATTTGTAGCCAGAGAGAGTTGTGACTTCATAACATGGGAAGTAGGCATAATTCTAAAAGATTAATTTTCTTCTGCCTGAGAAGTCTTGGGAGGCAGCTTTGAAAAACAAGTTTGTCATCACTAGACCTAAGTTCACTATATAGATAGTCACATCTCCTTGGGAAAAATTGAGGTGTCCAAAAGCAAAGATGACCAAAACTACTACTTTAAAGAAAGGATGAGACACTTTCCTTGGGGACTTCAGATTTGCACTCCTTCTCCCCTCTTAAGCTGGTCTCTTCTCCCTCGAGCCTTGTGTGCCCTTACCCTTGTACTCTGATTTCTCAAGAGACAGTCTGCTCCGACTGCTGGGGATCCCAGCACCTGCTGTGCAGGGGCAATAAATGCAAACGGGTTGGTTGTCCTGAACAGATATATTGTTCCTACTGCTGTGTTCAGGGAGAATATCCTACTGTTCCTTCTTTTCCCATCTGCATACTGGAAGCAGTTATTTTAGCCTTCTATTAGGGAGCTTTAAAAACTTATGTGGGTATCTATGTCTTCATTTCAGGTACAGCAGCAGCAGCACCTAATGAGAGGAAACCAAGCCCAGCAAACGTGTCTGCCGGGGCAGACGAGCATTTCAGTGCCCCTCTACAACAACCCCATGGTGTTTTCGCAAATGCATCCCATTACGGTGGCTGCACAGATGCCGACTGACGGCAGCGAAAGGCAACCGCAGTCTGACTACAGCCAGGACAGGAGCCTCAGGTAGGAACGCAGCCCTGCTGGGACCGTCCTGATGGCGGTGACAGAAAATAGCAATACCTGGGTGGCAGGGAGGGCAGGCACAGCTGGGCTCAGGGGGGTGATGGTCTCTGAGTGGCACAGCAGGGATGTTCCCTCCTGCAGAGATCTGGGTTAGTGGTGAGCCCGGCGTGTGTGCAAGCAGGGTGCTGTGCACACCATGCCGTACCCTCAGGGGCCTGAGATCCTTTTCTCTCCATGTTTCCATAAATTGTCCATGTAGCTCGGTAACCTTGGGACATCTGCTGCTGTCAGAGGGAGTGAACAGGAAAAAATAGCAGGGACAGCCTTTCCCAAACCTGTGTCTGCTTGCTCTGTAGCTCCAGAGTGTGTTTTCTCCAGCCAGGTCAAGTGCCACGGCAAAGCCATTTTTCTTTTATAGAACGCTGGAAATGTTGTATAAAACATATACAACTGCCCCAAACTATTCAACCACCTTTCAGGGAGGTATCTGCAAACACTGCCTCCAGGATCCAGCCGTTTCGAAATACTCTGTAAGGAAACAAGATAAACCCCAGAGGTCTCACCATCTATAAAACATATTTCTTACATGAAAGATTTGGCAAGTTTCAGCTCACCTCTGCGAGTGCAATGAGACAAGCTGATAATAAGCATCCTATTTCATTAGCTTTTTTCAGGGTGATGGTTTGCATGCTTTCAGGGATTTGTTTCTAGAGACTGACAGTCAGGAGTTTGGACCTCTCCCTTCCCTGACCGTCCTCTGTTTTTCCTCCACCGCAGGATGCTGTTGGATCAGTCCATCCAAGCCATGATGCCCGCCGCCAACGGCAGTGGCCAGTCCACGCAGAGCAGTGCCAGCAGGCAGCAAGGAAAGTGAGTCTTTGCTGGCCCTTCTTTTCATGCCGTGTTTTAGCAGGGCACTTCACGGCGCTGAAAATTACTTTGAAAAACTTGTATGTGATTATGCAAACACAAACAGTCTCAGTCTTAAAAGAAACAAAAACTCAGCTGGTTAGGAGAAAAAGTAATGAGAATGTTTTTAATTACAAAGAACTTTGATAACTAAAATGCTTTAAAAAAATATTTTTTTAACTGTTTTCTGGCTTTTGCAAAGCTTAAAATGCATAATCAGGTCATGGAGGAGATGTACAGCCTTAAAAACCTTAATTGTCTGCAGTTCCACTCCATGCTTGATGGGGAGGGGGAAATCTGGGGCCTGCTTTCGCCAGGCTCTGTGTGGTTTGACAAACCCTGCTCCAGTCTGGTTCCTGCAGCACTTCAGCTCCCCAGGGCCTGCTCCAGTGGTGGGTCTGGGTTTGGGTTCTCACGCCTTATTTTCCTCCTCGTGGCAGATTCGTTGCAGAGCAGCAGATCTTGCCTCCCCCAATACAGATGCAACCAATTACCTGTAGCACTGTCCGACCTCCGGCCCCATCGCCCGTTTTCTCCCCATCTCTGATGATCCCGCACACCAGCTTCACATCCCACCAGGGAAACGCACCGGTTCATCTCCACCAGTGGCCACAGCAACAGGTTCAGAAAAAACGTCTCTACCTTCAGGTAATGGAGCTGGAACAGGTTTCTGAGGATGCACAGGGATGGCTTTGGGGTTGGGTTGGTTTTTTTGAAGAAATGGGGCTAATCAAACCTGGTCAGTGCACTCGCACACATCCTCCGTGCCATCTGCACGTACTCAAGTGCTCAGCCTTTCGAGGCTGGCTCTGCACCCGTTCAAGGCCTTATTTTCCAACGAACTCAGTTATCACTTAGTGTCCAGAAGAAATATCCCGTTTTTCAAACACAGCTTGTCGTCCAGAGGAGCTCTGGTGGGAATCTTGCTGTACACGTGAAACATGATCAGAGATAAGCTCTTTTGAAAACATGCCTCCTGCTGTTATGTCTCAGCATAACAAGGGGTTTTATCAGCTGCCGTCACTGCTTTCTTTTAATAAATGGGTGTTTCACACTACAAACATCTGGAGAAGGTGATTTTGGTTTTTCAAAGCACAGCTTCATCAGTGCATGCCAGACCAATGACGCTGCCAAGGAGAGGGGTTGTTGAAACTAATAATTAATTAGTACTACACTGTCCAAGACTTGCCTGGTTGGCAGAGGTAAGTTACGGTCCTACAGCAAAGATGGTAGAAAACAAAGCAAGAGGAGTAGGTACAGCTGAAAGTAGCCATGCAGCAGGACTGGATTTAGAGTAAGAAATTAATCGTCATTGTCAGCAAATATGGACATGAGCTGTCCCCACTTTGGGTACATGTGCTCACGGGCTGCACTGAGATCCTGAGGACTAGCAATATGGACAGCGGAATGATGGTGCTGGAGGAGATAAATAGCTCCAGGACAACAGAAAACCAGGTTTTGGTGCCACAGTGCCTTTAATGGGGGGTGAACCAGCAAGTCCAGGTCTTTGGGTTATCAGCCACGGGGTGGCACATGGGCAAGGTTGCTCTACAGCCTCTTCAGCGGTTGCCTGAAGATCCTTCCCATGGAAGATGGAAGTTGCACATCCTGCAGATTTTACCTTGCGTCCAAATAACTTTTGAAGGTCTCCATTCCCGCTGGGCTCCCCGTGGGGCTGGTAGGACAGATGGGTCCTGCTTCCCCTCCGTACTCTCCAGGCATTGTTAGTCGTGCTGATAGCACCAGCATCCCAAGCCGCTTGTCCACAACTTACACCCTCGATGGGTAGAGGTTACCTGTAGGACTTGGTACTCACGCTCCTGAGTACGAGCCTCAGCATCAGCCCTGCATCAAGAGAGGGAGCAGATGGGCAATAGGGCAGGTCTGACTTATTGGATTTGTGTCTCCCGACAGATGCAAGGTCCTGAGCCGGTGCCTGGGGGTCCGACGCAGCGCATTTTCCAGCCCCCCCACCCTCCGCAGCAGAACCCCCTGAGCTACTTCCTCCACC